TGTCCCCAAAATCATACCGTCAGCTCCCAACAAAAGGGAGACATACTGGGGCTTTCAGAGAATACCACTGTCCTTCATCTTGCTGGAATTTGTAGGCCCTCATCTAATTCTAAACAGCTTCAAACTGACTTTAATCAACCACACAATTTTACATTTTTTTCCACCGGAAAAAAAAGTACTTGGTTTGACGTGACCTCCTGACCCCAACAGTGTTCTCTATCACTCAATACAGCCTGAAAAATGGATCAAGATTCTATATAAAGGCCGGGCACAGTGGCTCACACCTGTAATCCCAGCACTTTAGGAGGCCAAGATGAGCAGATCACCTGGATCAGGAGTTCAAGACCAGCCTGGCCAACATGGTCTCTATTAAAAATACAAAAATTAACTGTGTGTGGTGGTAGGTGCCTGTAATCACAACTACTCGGGAGGCTGAGGCAGGAGAATCGCTTGAACCGGGGAGACAGAGGCTGCGGTGAACCAAGATTGCGCCACAGCACTCCAGCCTGGGCAAGAGAGCCAGACTCCACCTAAAAAAAAAAAAAAAAAGATTCTACAAAAAGGCCGGGCACAGTGGCTCACTGACATACCCAGAACTTTGGGAGGCTGAGGCAGGAAGAGGGTTGCTTGACCCCAGGAGTTCAAGACCGGCCTGGGAAGTATAGTATGACCTTATCTCTACACAAAATTTAAAAATTAGCTGAGCTCAGTGGTGCATGCCTAGTCCCAGCTACTCTAGAGGCTGAGGTGGGAGGATTGCTTGAGGCAGAGGCTGCCGTGAGATCACATTACTGCACTCCAGCCTGGGCAACAGAGTGAGATCCTGTCTCAAAAAAGAAAGATTCTACAAAAAGACAAAGCAAATGGAGAGAAGTGTACAGGAAACCTTTAGTAATACGCACATCAAGGTAAATTACTACCACTAGGTCTTCAAACCTAGTATGTGTTTAAAAAAAGGAAAGCAGTAAGATATCCAGTGTCATTCAGTATTATTTTATTTGGCTTAAGTTTTTTGATACTAAATTAGTAAGAAGCAGTCATTGTCCTATGCCCTGGTGAATCACTGTCCTAGAATTCAACATCTATAAAGAATTATAATCCTCAGCTTTGAGATTCAAAATTTAGTTTCTCTGCCCCATCTTTACTCACTTCAATATACAGATAGTGTCCCCTTAATCATTCCATTACCAATGTCCTCTACATAGAAAATCCAGCATTGCTTCTGCAGTTTAGAGACACTGCAGTCTCTTAGGCTACTTTGAAATTTTTAAAAGAGCATCTCTTACAGCTGCTAGAGTAGTGCTTAGATCTCTCTTCGATGTATAAAGTAAATCTCCCCAGAGAAACCACACTGGGTCTGGAGCCAGACTGCCTAATTATGACTTCCAGTACGATCTTGAGCAAGAAACTTAATTACTTTGCTGTGTCTCCATTTTTCCCTCTGAAAAATGAGAAAATAATTGTACCTACTTCAAAGGATCGTTGTACTTTAGCATGGCATAAATATTAAGTCTTATTTAGCTCCAAAATCTAGTACTGTTTCACGTGTACACTAGGTTTGCCTAACGAAAACATTACCTACCATTTTGAATATCTTTGATGTTTCCCCATGGTATGCAACATTCATTCAATAGGTAAATATAAACCTACTCTGTATATATACATATATATTATACTGGATACCAAAGCAATTTTCAAAAATAGGACATCCCCAAACCTTGAAGGGCTTATATTTTGGGCGAGGAAACAAAATACATGAAACACTCAGGTAACAATATAAAGCTATAAAAGATTAACTGCCACAGAGTGTGGTATACGCAGTTAACGTTCAAAGAGTCATTGTGGGCTGCAGGCTGTGCAGAGAAAGTCAGGCTGGAGGGGCCCTCACCTAAAGGCAGGTGTGATCTTCACTACTGGAAAGTGGAAAGAGGATTCCCCAGGAAAGGTGCTCACTCTGCAAAGGTTAACGTAGCCCTCTCCGTGTGCCAGATTCTGTTCTAGGCCCCAGGGAAAAAACAATGAGTGAGACAGAAAAAGTCCCCCCATTCACGGAGCTTAAAGGGCACCCCATCTAGAGCCAAATTTTGAAGGATTGAGAGAGGACTGTCTTCCTGTCATAGGAAACCATTTAAAGCCTTATGAACAGGAGCCAATATTGTTATTATACTCACTATGGTTTTCCAAAAATGACAAAAAATTTTTGAATTTTTTCATGTACTGTAATATATTGTATTCTAAATCAGTTCCATCTTTAAAAAGCACATAAAAGGATATTCTCCATATTTCTTCACACGAATAACACATAAGAGATTTACAAATGCATACAATGTTATTGGAGTGGTTTTTGTAACAGAGGCCTGTGGAGGTGCAGTTTCTAAACTTTGCCCAAATGAAAACCTAATAAGGCATGCTTTCCTCCCCACCTACCCAGCCCCACTTTTCCCCCCCCCTTCTTTACTTCATTTACCAGTGACTGCCCATAAATATCAAAGTTGGGAAAGTGCCTGAAGATGCATGTGGTAACAAGAATCAGTCACAAATTCACTCCAAAAGAAAAACATGTATGTCTTTTTTAAGATCCTTGTATTGATGACAACTCCCAAATCCTCCCCTCCCCAAAGAGAATGCCTTTAAGAACCCCTCTTGTAAATACTGACTAGCAAAGCATTCTTCATCTTTTCCTCTTCCCAAAGATGGACCACCAGAACCATCTGATAGCTAAGTTCCAGTATGCTTTTTTAATCACAAAGACACACCTCCAACTCTCCAGTCCTTTCAACACCCAACAAGATTTGAACTGTTAGACCCTACGCTCATCTCAGAATCATTGTTAGTTGGAACTGTTATGCCTACACAAATCATTAAATTCTATCTTCAAAACAAACTTATTAAGGAAGCCAAAACTATTCAATTAAATCCAATCAAAAACTTATTAATGCACAAAGTACTGGACTCAATAGTAAGCGTATGTTCAACACATTTAAAGGCAAACTAAAAACAGGCACACAGATCTTTCACAACTACCTACAATGTAAATAACATCCTTAACATTCAAATGCCCAGTAAAATTGTGCTAGACTCATCAACAAAGTAACAGACAGCCCACTGTTTTTTATTTCTTTAGTTTGGTATTGGAAAATTAGCCTTGTTTCATGTTTGTTTACCCTTAATTAAGACTGTCACTTAGAAATTAAATATGGAAAGGGAGGCCATTAGGGCTTTCTCAATATTTACCTTTTTCCAATGTCCTAGCATAGCCAGTTCACTAGGTGACAATGTTACATAATGGAAACTTGGATAAGTAAGACAAGGGGCTTTGGAAACTATTCAGCACCTAAATAAAGGGACTAATTGTAGTTCTATGAATTTGTAAAGCCATCTTCCAAATTGAAAAGCACATTAATTTACTCTATGGGTCATTTTATATTGCCAACACTCTTATTTTACAAAAGCAGAAACAAGCATTTAATGTACACGTTTGATGGGCGTGGGGGCTCACGCCTGAAATCCCAACAATTTGGGAGGCTGAGGCAGGAGGATCACCTAGGGTCAGGAATTCTATACTAGCCTGGCCAACATGGTAAAACCCTGTCTCTACTAAAAATACAAAAATTAGCTGGGCTTGTTGCCGGGCGTCTGTAATCCCAGCTACTTGGGAGGGTGAGGCAGGAGAATCACTTGAACCCGGGAGGCGGAGGTTGCAGTGAACCGAGATAGTGCCAGTGCACTCCAGCCTGGGCAACAAAAGCGAAACAAAACAATAATGTACACGTTTCACATTTGGACACACTGAAATCAAACTCACGTATTCAAATTTTTTGCGATTAAGTGACATAAAACAAGCACACCATTTGGCACAGGCCCGGCAAACAATCAGTACTCAACATTGCTTGTTATTTTCTTACTTCAGAATCAAACTAAACGCTATACGATTATATATGTGATTACGTATATATAATATACATAAACATATATACTGTAAATTAAGCTAGTATGTTATTGCGTAATGGTCTTAATCTAGACAAAGGTGAGTTTAATTGTAACAGATGACCCACAAAGGACAGAAAACTTAAGTGTTCAATGTCAGTGCTCATTTCTGCAGGGTTTCATGACTTATAAATAACAGTCAGCTGGTCCTAGAGAACTTACTCAAATTGTATAGTTAATACTTGAAGCACGTGGACCAGTGGCCATTTATTTGCAAAGTGGCACCAACCACCGACATCTCATCATTTCCATACTGCTGCTGAAATCCTACGCAAATTCATTACCTGTGTCAAGCTGGGAAACACTTCTGTCACGTCACTACACAATTAAATAAAAATACCCAAAAGGCACTTACATTGACAATGCTATAGCATCCTGGCCACTTCCAGTTTTTAAAACACTACGGTGTCAGCCACGCACCATTCAGGACGGGGAGAATGGAAAGCCAGTTTGGAAAACAGACGCTTTCTTAAGAGTACACGTGAATATGAAAAGGGACTCTATGCCCTCTAGATCAAAAAAGAAATCCTCTGTGCTGCCCGGCTTCAACGCGCCTGGTGGGACAACGCACACGACCCCTCCCACGCAGAGTCCCACCCCTCGCGCGCACAGCCGTGCGGGAGGCGCACTGCACTCGCAGGTAAAGCCGAGTCCCCGCCACTTCCGCCGGGTTTTCGCAAAGGCGCCGCACTGCACGCGACTGCCAGGTCCACGTGGGCCAGCAAGCGCGGGGGACGCGACCCGCCGCTACCGCGAGCCCCGCCGGCGCCCGCCCCCCACCCGCGGGAGCTTGTGAGTCCGGCCCGGGGGCTCGCAGAGGGCGGCGCGCGCGACCCGAGCGGGGGTCGCGGCGGGGGAGGGGAAGTGAGCCCGGCTCCACTCACGCGCCCGGGGGCGGCACCGGTGCAGCCGCGGCGTTTCTCCGACTCAAAAAACTGAAAAGGGGAAAGGGGAAAAAAAAAAAAAAAAAAAAGACCTGGCTCCTCGTTTCATCCGGAAACCGACCGGCCGGCAGGAAATGACGAAGGCAGAGGGCGTCCAGGTCCGCTCGGTAACCGTTTCCCGCGCGCCCGGCCCCGACCCCGGGGGAAAGAGCCCCGGAGCGGAGTAGCACTGGCCGCGTGCCGCCTCCGGAGCCGGCAGCGTGAGTGGCCCCGCGTCCCCGCGCCTCCCGGTCCCCGACGGGGCCGCGTCACCCGGCCCCGCCCCGCTCCGCCCCGGACGCGGGTGGAAGGAGGTCGCTGCCCGCCCCCGATCCCGCGCGGTGCCCGACGCTCCGAGCACCTGCTTGTCCCTAGCGCGGAGCCCCTCAGCTTCGCGGGGAGCAGCCAGGCGCCCGCTTCCGGAAGCGCACACGGGCGAGTCGCGTCGGCCCATCTGCCAGGGCGGCTAGGGCTCAGCGGGAGGGTTGAGGCTGAATCACGCGCAGCCTGCGGGCGGCAGAAACGTCCCAGAGCTTAGCCACCCCGGGCCCGGGCCGCTTCCTGGGAGAGGATTGCATCTTCTCTCCGCTCCACTTGACTTTCTTCCGGCAGGAGCGGGTCTCTCAGGATCGGGGCATAAGCTGGAAGAGTTCAGTTTTGGGAGTCGTGTTTGTAACAGCTCCGCGCCTCCACGCCCTGGCCCGTGTGGCTTTGGGCAAGTTATATAACCACTGCCCTCAGCCCAGTTTCTTCTCCTGTGAAATGGAGCTTTAGTGCCGCCCAGCAGGGTTGTTGGGATAATTCAGTGACTCTGTTGACTGCCCAGCACATGTGAATTGCTTTCCTCGATGTTGGGTGAAGGCCTGTGAGCGTGTGCCCTTCTGCTTCAGGATCCCAAGCCTTTAGTGTTTCAGAGGGATGAGAGAAGGAAATCCCATTTATTGATGCAGGGGATTTTGTTGTAAGGGACTCTGGGAACTAAGTGGTTCCAATGTATTCACAAAGTTCTAAGCGAGAGACAATGATTAACATTCAAGGCACGATGACAAGCGGTGATCAATTTTAGAACCACCTAGACATGGCATCAGGTTCCCAAAATCACGACACAGATTTAAAGCTTTTGATACATTCACTTAGTCCCTAGAAAAAGTAGCTCTCAGCTGCGCATGGTGGTTCACGCCTGTAATCCCAGCACTTTGGGAGGCTGAGGCGGCTGATTGCCTGAGCTCAGGATCTCGAGACCAGGCTGGGCAGTATAGTGAGACGAACGTAACCTCCACCCTTCCCGTCTTAAAAAAAAAAAACACTAAAGAATAGCCGGACCTGGTAGCATTCACCTGTATTCCCAACCACTTGGGAGGCTGAGACGAGAATTGCTTGATTCCGGGAGGTCGAGGCTGCAGTAAGCCGAGATCGCACCACTGCCCTCCAGCCTGGGTGACAGAGCAAGACCCTGTTTCTGTAAAAAGGAAAAGTGGGTCTCATCTTAAAAGTTTGTCAACCTAAAACCAACCCCTAGTTGTCATACATTGGTGACATTAGATACTCATGTTTACTTGGGACTTAATTCAGCCCATCGTAGCATCTCCTTGCTAAAATAGTTCAAGCGTTACATCACAGGAAAATGCGAAAAAAGGTGTTTTGCTTTAGATTCCCAAGGAACACTGTGGCGATATGCAGTAAGCAGGCAACAGGTGTATATATGTACACTTGGTTACACTGTGGCATGCCGGGGAGGAGGGGACGGGGTCATAGTACAGGCTGCGTGTGGGCCATGGGTCTGTCCTGTGACTCAGGATCAGACCATTCCTTACTCCTGGCAGCCTTACCAAGTCATGCCATTGGTCATGACTGAGGACTGGGTGGTGAAGCCCTCCCCCCAGTAAATCTTTCACAACTACACTCCTAAAAATAACTCAAGTGCCTGTCCCTGAAAGCACGGAAGAGTGACCTCATGACATACCAATCATGTTGTATAATATAGGTTGTATAATTCACGTTAAAATTTTACCATTCTGTGTCGGTAGTAATTAGAAATTTTTTCCTAGGTGTAATTAAAGGCCTGCATATTTGAGGCAGGAGGAAATCACGCTTTGGGTAGGAATGTACCATTTACTGAGTGGCACATGAACAGAAACGTGTGAAAAATTACATCAAGAAATTAACCTGGTTCAGATCCATTTTGTCACTAGAAAATAGGAAGCATTTTGTAATTTGTCAGATAAATGGCACTCGTGAAATGTTCTAGTGGCCAGTGCTGTATGGCTCCCTGTTTCTTGCCTAATTTGTTAATAAGTCCCAATCCTGAAAGCTGCTTCCCTTGCTGCATAATTGTCCTGAGCCTTCTGGAGCATCTCAAATCAGACTCATAAAGTCATCTTATTTTTGCCAAACACGGTGGTGGTTGTTGCTATTTTACACTTTGGCACCAATGAAGTTTGAGATTCCATAAATTATAAAGACAGTTATAGTGTCTGGGCTTCCAAAAGTTTCCATGTCTAAAGTAGGCTGATTACTTACTATAAACCATAAAGTTACATTGAGAGGAACTCTAGAATTTAGTTTTGAGGAGTAAGAATTGAAACTGTCAATATGCCAAATACCTCTCCAAAAGATCCACAGCCAGTCTTCAGTATCTAGAAATTGGTATAGTCTAGTGTTTAAATAATATTTAGATATTGCATTCTACAAATTTTTACAATTTAAGTTCTGTTTTTATTGTTGCCTGGCTAATTTTCACAAGACCAGTCTTTATATTCAACAGACACCAATAGTTACTTTAGTGAAATCACTCTTGCCCTCAGTGGCAAGAGTTTAAGTTAAATGGCTGTTCATGATGCTCACTTTATTCTAAAGGAGTCCAGTATGCCCGTAAACATCTGACAAAGACAAGTTGTCAGAAAGGCAGAAACATGCCACGTGGCTTAGGAATAGACCTCTCCTGAAATTTTATTCTTTTTATATAGAGGCAAAACTAGAAGAACGAACTCCGCCCTCAATACGTGCATCTTAACTACCTGGCCAAATCCACACTAATGAACACTGGAGGCTCACAGCTTGGACTCCTGCAAGCCGTTTTAGTGGATGAATTTTTGTAATCCCTTCATTGTAGTAGGCAGTGTAGAAAAAATCGCCAAGCAACTTTTTAGACTCACTACAGTGCAGTTATCACCTATATTTGTCCATTTTTCTCTTGTATATAGACTGTCTAAAGCAACACTTCTGGATTTTCTTTACGTATTAGGTCATTTTACTTAGACTTACCTTTTATGTCCCAACACAAAATAGGAACTTTCTCTTTAAGGAAAAATTCAGTTAGCTTCTCAAACACAAATAAGAAGTCATTACTTTTACTTGGTGTTTGATGCACTTGCTGTGACCACTCTAACTTTCTGTGGGAATGTCCAAAGAATGCTTTTCCTAGGGTAGATGTCACAGCTGTGTCAATAGCAAAATGTGTCTTTTCATCCCATAGCTGCTTTCAACCAAATTTGGCCAGGAGGCCAAAACTAGATAAAGCTCCAAACGTTTTCCAGGGTGGGAGGCATGGGGGGTGAGAGAGCCATGTTCTGGCTGTCACATTTTTGCTAGGCTGCTATGCCAGGTGTTGAGCCTCTGTGTTTTGTTTGTTTGTTTTGAGGTGGAGTCTCGCTCTGTTGCCCAGGCTGCAGTGCAACGGCACAATCTCGGCTCACTGTAATCTCCATCTCTCAGCTTCAGTTCTTCTGCCTTAGCTGCCAAGTAGCTGGGATTATAGGCACCCACCATCATGCCCAGCTAATTTTTTTATTTTTCATAGAGACAGGGTTTCACCATGTTAGCCAGACTGGTCTTGAACTCCTGACCTCAGGTGATCCGCCCGCCTCAGCCTCCTTGAGTTTTGGGATCATAGGCGTGTGCCACTATGCCTGACCAAGTCTCTATTTTAAAGTATTCTGTTGCTTTCCTCTGGGTGTTACACTTTGGAAACTGCAATAACATTTCAAGCTCTGTCCTTTTCATAATATTATTTTATATCCCAAATTTTAACCATTCTGTAGGAGCTGTCAAAGTCAAACATAAGGGGAAATGCATAATGTGCCCTAACTATGTAGCCCTCTGATTGTTAAACTTTTTCTTTTCTTTTTGAAACAGTCTTGCCCTGTCGCCAGGCAGGAGTACAGTGGTGCAATCTTGGCTCACTGCAATCTCTGCCTCCTGAGTTTAAGCAATTCTCCTGCTTCAGCCTCCTGAGAAGCTGAGATTACAGGCTTGAGCCACCACACCCAGCTAACTTTCACATTTTTATTAGAGATGGATCTTCACGTTGGCCAGGATGGTCTCAATCTCCTGACCACTTGATCCACCCGTCCTGTACTCCAAAAGTGCTGGGAGTATAGGCGTGAGCCACCACGCCCAGCCTTAAACTTTTTCTTAAAGGGCCAGATTGTAAATATTTTAGGTTTTGTGGGCTGTGAAACAAAATCGATATTGTGTAGGTGCAGTCATTCCTTGGTATTTGGGAGATTGGTGCCAGGACCCCGTCCGATAATCAAAATCCATGGATGCCCAAGTCCTGATATAAAATGGCGTAGTATTTGCATATAACCTAAACACATCCTCTGTATACTCTAAATCATCTCTAAGCATTTATAATACCTAATACAATGTAAATGTTATGTAAATAGCTGGTGTAATGTACTTTTAAAATTTTATATATATTTTTTTTGCAAATACTTTCCATCCACAGTTTGTTGATTATTTGGATGCAGAACCCTCAGATATAGAGGGCCAACTGCACCATTTAAATGTGCCATTTAGAAATGTAAATCCCATTCTTGGCTCATGGGCCGCACACAAACAGGTGGTGGACTGGATTTGGCCAGCAGGCCATATGTTTGCCAGCCCTTCCCCAGACAGTGTTACCATCATTAATTAAAAGAAACCTTGCCTTCTTTTCTCTCTTACAGCCCCATGGCTGGGGGTTATGGAGTGATGGGTGACGATGGTTCTATTGATTATACTGTTCACGAAGCCTGGAATGAAGCCACCAACGTTTACTTGATAGTTATCCTTGTTAGCTTCGGTCTCTTCATGTATGCCAAAAGGTAAATTTTTGTTTCTCAGGGTAGATAAAAACTGTGCATTTACAAGTTTTGCAAGTTTAAGAAATAAGAAATGAATGCATAAAAATAATTTCATCAGGCCAGGCGAGGTGGCTCACGCCTGTAATCCCAGCATTTTGGGAGGCTGAGGCGGGCAGATCATGAGGTCAGGAGATTAAGAACTTCCTGGCCAACATGGTGAAACCCCGTCTCTACGAAAAATACAAAAATTAGCTGGGTGTGGTGGCGTGTGCCTGTAATCCCAGCTACTCAGGAGGCTGAGGCAGGAGAATTGCTTGAACCAGGGAGTCGGAGGTTGCAGTGAGCCCAGACTGCGCCGCTGCACTCCAGCCTGGCAACAGAATGAGACTCCATCTGAAAAAAAAAAAAAATTATCGTTTTTGTTCTAGTGCTGAAAGACATGGTCTACTGTGATCTCAAGCATTGGTGGCCAAGGTTTGACTCTGAAAACCTCATTGCTGGCAGGGCATGGTGGCTTACACCTGTATTCGCATCATTTTGAGAGGCCAAGGCAGGTAAATCACCTGAGATCAGGAGTTCAGGACCAGCCTGGTCAACATGGTGAAACCCTATCTCTACTAAAAATACAATTAGCTGGGCGTGATGGCATGAGCCTGTAACACTAGCTACTCAGGAGGTGGAGGCGGGAGAATTGCTTGAACCTGGGAGGAGGATGGAGTGAGCTGAGATTGTGCCACTGCACTCCAGCCTGGGCGACAAAGTAAGACTCCTTTTCAAGAAAAAACAAACCCATTGCTTTAAGAAATGGAGACTTAAGTACAGCTCTCAGCCCCCAGGCCAGCTGCTCTAAACTCTTAATTTTGTAATTTCTAATATAGCCCAATTTTATCATCTAGCCTGGGATGATAACATTGTCACCCTTCATTGAGCACATTTTTTTGGCTTAAGTCCCTGAATGTAGAAACACTGACTCCTATGTCTTAGCAAATCTCCCTTCAGCCAGTATAAGCTTTTCCTTGTTTTTTTTGTGCATGACTGCATCATAGCACTTATTAAACAGTGTTAGTCTTACCTGATGACTTGTCCATTCCACCACGTCTTTTTTGTCTTTTACCTTTGGGTCCTTGATGTGCCACGTAGTGTAAATCTTCAATAAATATTATTTCCTGCCTTAATTCCAGATGTTGTAGCTTAATTTAACTGGTTTTCCACACTCCCTGGCTCCTTTCCCAGAAGTACAGTAAAAAGGGGGTGGTACGGGGAGGCTTTAAAGAGGAAGAGCAGTGTTAGATTGCGTTGGTTCTGCAGATACTTGCATACAAGTATCCTTTCCCAATGTAAAAAGGCATTAGAGAGTTCAAGGTAATTAGTAATCCAGAAATAATTTAAGTTTGGTCTGAGGAATTGTTCAGAGCCCGCACTTGTGCCCAGATCTCAGCTGAACCCTCCTGGAGCTGCTGGCCTGTGGGCTCCTGAACTCGGGCTGGTGAGAGGAGGCTCCCTGACCATCACTGATCACCGGGCTGGTGACCGCTTTCCTCTAAAAACAGCCGCTGCCACCTTCCCACGTTTCTTTTAAAAGCGGAGGCATGCTGTTCTTAATTTTAAAAAGATGTCTCCACTACGGCCATGCTATTGTATTTAAGAAATATGTTTATTCATTACTTTCCAAAATTAAGTTCTGCTCACATTCAGTTTATTCTCCAGGGCGGTAATTTAGCTTTATCTGGATGACATGAGAGGGAGGAAAAATCAGCTATTTTCTTGTTTCTGATTTTCTCTTAGGATATTTGGCTTTTGGGTGATTGAGGAGAGTCACAGTTGGAGGAACTTCACTTTGTTGTGTTAAATGGATGTGTTCAGCTACTTATTTTTCTCACTTACAGCCTCATACTTTTTAGCAAAAGAAAAAATACTTTGAGCCAAGGAAGCAGCTCCCAAAGACAAAATGGAAAGTAAAATGGGCTTGTTGTCATTTAAGTCCTTTTACCATAGCTTCTGATGACCAGGATCATGAGCATATTACAACATGACATTAATACAAATATCTCTTCTGCATGGATTTTGTGTTTTAGGAACAAAAGGAGAATTATGAGGATATTCAGCGTGCCACCTACAGAAGAAACTTTGTCAGAGCCCAACTTCTATGACACGATAAGCAAGATTCGTTTAAGACAACAACTGGAAATGTATTCCATTTGTAAGTATATTCTGTACTGAAAGATATGCATATACATGTTTAAAATAGATTTTCTGGAATTGAGTTCATTTAGCAAAAGGTTATTAAAAATTGTAAGTAATGAAACTTAATAGCCAGGTGCAGTGGCAGGTGCCTGTAATCCCAACTACTCAGGAGACTGAGTCAGGAGAATCGCTTGAACCCAGGCAGCAGAGGTAGCAGTGAGCCAAGATTGCACCACTGCACTTCAGCCTGGGCGACAGAGTACGACTCTATCTCAAAAAAAAAAAAAAAGATAACCTAGTACTATTTTCAGATTTTTAATACGTTTTTCAGATATCCTTTGTTCTTTTTGTATTTTACACCATTTCATTTGTTACTGGCCCAAAATAAGACATATAACTTAATTCAACATGGCAGCATTATTCACAATAGCCAAAAGGTGGAAATCACCCTCATGTCCTCAACAGATGAATGAATAAACAAAGTATGGTACATACGTTAGAATGTTATTCAGCCCTTAAAAGGAAGGACATTCTGACATGCTGCTACACATGGAAGAACTTTGAAGACAGTATGCTAAGTGAAATAAGCCAATCGCAACAGGACAAATATTGGATTATTTCACTTATGTGAGGGAAATCATAGAGACTCAAAGTAGAGTGGTGGTTGCCAGGGGCTGCAGAAGAGGGGAATAGGGAGTTTATTGGGTCCAGAGTTCAGTTAGGGATGAGAACAGCTCTGTGGATGGATGATAGTGATGGTCACAGCAACATGAATGTATGTAATGCCACTGAACTCTACACTTACAAATGGTTAAAATGGTAAAGTTTATGTTACGTATATTTTACCACATTAAAAAACATCCTTTTAAAAAAATAAGTATTGTTAAAAAAAAAAAAAATTCAGAGCATGGGGCCAGGCATGGTGGCTCACACCTGCAATCCTAGCACTTTGGGAGGCCGTAGCAGGCAGATCACTTAAGGTCAGGAGTTCGAGACCAGCCTGGCCAACATGGTGAAACCCTGTCTCTACTAAAAATACAAAACTTAGCCAGGGATGGTGGCACATACCTGTAATCCCAGCTACTCAGGAGGCTGAAGCAGGAGAATCGCTGGAGCCCGGGAGACAGGTTGCAGTGAGCCAAGATTGCACCATTGCACTCCAGCCTGGGGGACAAGAGCGAAACTTCATCTGACAAATACATACATACATAGTTACATACATACATATATACATACATACATATATACATAACATACATACATACAGAGCCAGGAGCTCTGAAAAATTAGAATAGCTAAGTTTTTGTTGATACTTATGCAAAACAAGTTGTCTGTTGTCAGTAATATGCTCAGTAACACAGCGGAAACAATTATAAACCCACAGTTTTGGTTTTTTGTTTTTGATGGAAAGATAGAAAACTAATTACTTAGCTGGGCACAGTGGCTTACACCTGTAATTGCAGCACTTTAAGAAGCTGAGGTGAGAGGATCACTTGAGGCCAGGAGTTCAAGACCAGCTTAGGCAACGTGGCGAGATCTTATCTTTGCAAAAAAAATAAAAAATTAGCTGGATGTGGTGGTGTCTGTCTGTGGTCCCAGCTACTTGAGAATTGAGGTGGGAGGATTGCTTGAGCCCAAGAGGTTGAGGCTGCAGTGAGCTGTGATGGTGCCCCTGCACTGCAGCCCTGGGCATCAGAGTGAGACTCTATCTCTAAAACAAACAAACATAAACTAATTCTTTATTGAAACTATGACTTTACTATAATTTAATGATGTTAGGTAGTAATCATTTTGCAGTTTTATTAATGTTACCTCTTTTTCTTATTATTTTTGTGAATAGCAAGGAAGTACGACTGTCAGCAATCACAAAACCAGGCTGACAGTGTGCAGCTCTCATTGGAATGAAACCTCAGAAAATGAGCAACATAAGTAATTGTTGCAAGCTCCTAATTCTTTCTACTAAATCATGAACAGCTTTAAAAACAACTTCTGTCTGCATAAAATTATTTTACTTGTGACTTTTTCCCAACGGTTTGTGCGTTTTGCTTTTTTAAATTGCATCTCCAAGTCATTGTTAGGTAAATACAAATGGCTCAGAAGACCTTGATACAGAAAGCCTGCACATATCAAGGATCTATGTATCCAGTGATGGTGACTTCACCTTGCAAAGACCTCTGATTCCTTCAGGATACAATCAGAAATAAAAACATATCTTGGGAAGCGGGAATCCTGGAGTTTATGCCACTGTGATTAGAACATTTTGCAATATTAAAAAATAAAAATGCAGCCATTGGAATAACTTCCTCTTTGATTATATTCTGTGATAAGTGTGATATCAATAACAGATTAATTTGTTGTGATTAGAACATTTTGCAATATTAAAAAATAAAAATGCAGCCATTGAAATAACTTCCTTTCATTATATTCTGTGGTAAGTGTGATATCAATAACATTAATTTGTTATTGTTGTTAACAGTTGTTTGTGTGTTTTTTTTTTTCTTTTTTGAGTCTGAGTCTCTCATTGTCGCCCAGGCTGGAGTGCAGTCTCAGCTCGCTGCAGCTTCCGCCTCTTGGGTTTAAGTGATTCTTTTGCCTCAGCCTCCTGAATATGCTGTTGACAGCTTTTTAATTGATAATCTTTGCTTCTTCAGAACTTGTGTGGTAGACTGTCCTTTCTACATCATGATGCATATTCCTGTGATAATTTTAAAAGCTTTCTGTAACTAGATTTTTTTCCTTATTAATTATGCTTGAGGACTTTCATTTCCACCAGGTAGCTCTATTTTAGGTCACACTGGGGCCCTGCTGTTGAATGAATGGATGCCTCTGTATTGGTGTTTGCAACTCTGCGGTAGTAGTGCTACCACTGGCGAGGCGTTACTGCTGCCACTGGTGAATGTTGCTGTCTGGTTACTTCTGCATTTTTAGCATGCTAAGCTTTCCCAAAGAGCCTCATATCTTTTCCCATTCTCTTTTTACCTAATGTTTCATATTTATTTAAATAAAAGCTGACTGGATAGTGGTGGGGAAGTTTAATTGTCCATGTATCTCAAAGAATCTGTTTTTGAACTAGAGCTATTTTCAATTATAAGAGTTGGCCGGGTGCAGTGGCTCACACCTGTAATCCTAGCACTTTGGTAGGCTGAGGTGGGAGGATCACGAGGTCAGGAGTTTGAGACCAGCCTGGCCAATATGGTGAAACTCTGTCTCTACTAGAAATACAAAAATTAGCCAGGTGTGGTGGCACGTACCTGTAATCCCAGCTACTTGGGAAGCTGAGGCAGGAGAATTTCTTAAACCCGAGAGGTGGAGGTTGCAGTGAGCCAAGATCGTTCCACTACACTCCAGCTTAGGCAACAGAGCAAGACTTCATCTCACACACACAAAAAAGTTAATGACTTCAAGTATTATGTCTTTTTCCCTTTATTATTGTAAAGTGCCATACGTATTTTAAATAAAAATCAAGGTTTAGACCAGATAAAATCATTCGGGGAAATGGCATTTACTTTAAAAAATGTGTTGTTCAAAAACATTTTTGAACAAATATATTGTACAAAAATATATTTTACAAGGTGAATTGACCAAATAGAATAATTCTTTTTAACTCACAAAGGAGTTTGAGTATACTGCCTATATGTAGAATTTAAATCTGACTAAAGGATTATAAACAGTTGTAATTATGGGCTGGAGTAGCAGAGCAGCAAGGGGACAGTCCTCTAAACTCTCCTCTGCCTAGAACTCCTGTATATATCCATGAGCAGTGAATTTAATCAGCAGCTGGAGTGGTTTCCTTGTTACTGACGTGGCACAATCTGGACAAATTACACAAACTGGCTATCAGATTTATACAATTAATGTACATAAATAAATATAAGCCACACAATGAAATGATTTCTTTGTGTCCACTAGATAGAGACGGTCATAACTACAAATTCTAGTAGATTGTTTGGTGAGCATCAAACCCTGGCAAGTGGGAAGATGAATTCCTCTCTGATTTTTCCTTAAAGCAAACTGATGGGAATTGCACACACCCCACTGGCAGGAACAACAGCAAACCGGCTTTGAAGTCTTCCTTGCTTCAACAGCTGAACTGGGGAGAGCACAAGCCCTGGAGCCACACTTCAAAGCTGTGCTGCCTGGCTGTCCTGCTTCTACCCACATCCACCTGAGACTCAACGGAACTGTTTTCTTTGGAAGAAAAATGGAACGACTAATAAGCTAGTAATTAACCCTTGTGTTCTTTTTCTGGTTTCATCTTCCCTTTTTAATGTGTAAGATACTCGGTAGTAAGCACTGGTCAGCCTGCCCTGGTGCACAGCTTGAGTGTGTTAAGTAACTGGCTGTTTAGCTGATGCCAGCCAGCTGCGCAAAGGGGAGAAGGCTGCCTCCAAGGGCACAGATGTTTGCTGTTGACCTCACGCTGTGTCTGGTTGAGTTATTCATGATTCATCGGAAAATGACATGCAAGGTTTATGGTAAAACTGCTGTAACATCAGAAGTATTTTAAGTGTTCACTAGAAATAAGATAAAATAGTAATAAAAAGTAGTTTCAGATGTTAAGATGATATAAGAATAAATTTAACCTAGAAAAGAATGGGAGAAGGAACAAAAGAACATTGTATAGAGCCAAGTAATTCATTCAGTGGTTGGTTCTGGAGTGCTCCTTTGCTTGCTATATGTGATTCTCTTCCATAGGCTATTCTAACAGCAGAGTAGATGCTAGAAAACCAATGGAAAGAGGACACTGAACAACCTCCAACATGTTCAAAATAGGACCAGAGGGTGGGAGCAGGAGCTCAGTGAGTGTATTTCCCACGTGGCTCCCTAATGAAGCCAGAGCCAAACTTAGACCAAGGTATAAAGTGGGAAAGAAAAATGTCCTACCTCTCTTTTTTACATCCCTCTTTATCCTCCCATATGCCTGTATGAGTGAGACAGGTCTTGAAGATTTAAGAGTGGGAATGAGGAACTCAGTGAGAACTAAGGTGGTGAACCCTATACACTCCCACAGCAGAAATGCAAGCCTTCTTTGACCTCTAACCCTAAATAAGTGGCATTCAGCATTGGACCTTATATCAATGAAACTCTACCTTTATTTAATTTATTTATTTGAGTCAGAGTCTCACTCTGTCACCCAGGCTGGAGTACGTGGGCATAATCTCAGTTCACTGCAAGCTCTGCCTCCTGGGTTCAAGCGATTCTCCTGCCTCAGCCTCCTGAGTAGCTGGGATTACTGGAATGTGTCACCATGCCTGGCTAACTTTTGTAGTTTTCATAGAGATGGGGTTTCACTATGTTGGCCAGGCTGGTCTCCAATTCCTGACCTCAGGTGATCCACCCACTTCCGCCTCCCAAAGTGCTGAAATTACAGGCATGAGCCACCGAGCCCAGCCTTACCTTTATTTTATTTAGATATAGTAAGAAACTAAGACCATTTGTGGAGGTGAGTATCATTCCACAATCCAGATAGGAAGTTGGGAAAGTCAAAGGGGAGGCCCCGCCCAGGCCCCAGTTTTGATGCTGAAGGAGCACTATGCTTTCACCTCTTTCAGAGTGATGTTTCTAGCTCCAGAGTTTCCTTTTCTTCAAATGGAGATGTGACAGAGGTCTTACTGTTAGCAAAGAGTGTTCTATCTCTGGGGTTTTATGAATATATGCTTTGACAAATTTTAAGCTAGCCAAGGAAAATTGAGAATTTTTAACTATAACTGATTTGGTGTTAACTGCAAATGCTTTTGGGCTCAGCAATCAGAATTTCTTGAGAAAGTGAACCACATAAGTGTAAAAGGCCTATGAGAAACCAAGTAAACGTGCATGTTATTCCTTTTCAGTGGGTAGGGGGAAGGGATTGTAATGTCTCTGAATAATGTATTTATTTTGAGGTCTAAAGAACTAGGCCCATTCAAGTTGACTTTAATATAATTCTTTATAACTGAACAGATTTCTAGTACCTAGTATTGGCATAGTAACTAGCCCAAAGTAAGTGCTCAGTAACTACTTGAATTAATTAACTTACTTGTAATAGTTTATAGTGGTGATTTTTGGGTGTTTTTTAAAAGGGTAGTCTCTGCTGGTAATGGCAGAGGTAGCCGTGTCACACTGACTCTTGGAGATAGTGACAGTGAGTTCAGGACAAAATATTTTTAAAAACAACTATTTGGAGGTAACACCACGCAAACAAACCAGAAGGAAGAAGACCATTGAAAGATTACCAATTGAGATTCTCATTTCTATGGTTTTTTGCCTGAAGACATTTCCCAGCCCACAGCTCAGGACTATGGAAGAACACAGGCAGAAAGCCACAGTCCTATGGGTGGAGGAGTCTGAGGTCAGCACTCAGGGACTCTGGAGAGATGACAGTGACAGGGACATCCCAGAAAGAAGTGAACCACAGAAGAACTGCATGTAAATTTGGGCAAGTCTTTGGCTGATCCTTGAACTATGCATCTATAGTCTCTCAGGAGCCTGGCAGGAAGCAAATCGCTAAAGAGACTGAGGTTGCAGTGAGCCGAGATTGCGCCTTTGCACCCCAGCCTGGTGATAGAGCAAGACTCCATCTCGAATAAAAAAAAAAAAAAAGCTGAAAGAACTGAGCAGTTTTCAGCTGCTTCTACTGTAGGAATTGCCGTTTGAGTCTTGCCAAATTATTTTTGCTTGCTAGAACAAAAATCAGCACTTTTCAGAGGAAGATAACAGAATCTAGAGACTTTGTATCACTCACGATGTCCAATATGCAATCAAAAATTACAGGAATTTGAGAAGAACAGGAAAATTAGATCAGAACAGAAAATGAGACCCACAGTCAAAGAGGAAAAAAAAATGGCACAATGCAGTTATAGCCGAGAAAAAGCAGTCAATAGAAAACCAGTTCAAAATGACCCAGATATTGGATTAGCAGGTAAGAACTTTATATTTATTTATTTTTTGTTTTTTTGTTTTTTTTTTTTCCGAGTCAGAATCTCACTCTGTCACCCAGGCTGGGGTGCAGTGGCACAATCACAGCTCACTGTAGCCTTGACCTCCGGGCTCAGGTGATCCTCCCAACTCTGCCTCTTGAGTAGCTGGGACTACAGTCACACACCACCATGCCAAGCTAATTTTTTTGTGTTTTCAGTAGAGATGGGGTTTTGCCATGTTGCCCAGGCTGGTCTCCAATTCCTGGACTCAAGCCATCTGCCCTTCTCAGATGTGTGCTACTGTGCCTGGCCAACAGATAAGAGCTTTAAAGCAGGTATTACAAATATGTTCAGATAAATGAAATACTTTCAGATAAATAATCATTGAAAGGATTTATCA